AGATGCAACAAGTCATGACAAATGATATTTTTGGTCTTTGGTTGCTTTAATCATACATAGGCGGGGACGTCAATATAATTACAATACTGAACTATAAATTCCAGTGATCATACAATAAATTTGATTCTACTAGTTTCATGTGGTTTCAACAAATAACATCCCATTCGATACTCTTGCACTAAGTGAGACATCTTGAAATCAAAAAAATTTAGTATGATTAATTATCTTTCCTTAAAACATCATGGAGTGGAAGCACATATAATTTGAACTTTCCTCAACTTCAATAAGTATTTCTTTCAAGCTTCTCGTCATTTACTAGCTTTTCCAATTGAAGATCCAATTCAATCCAAAAATTTGAAGTTTTTTTTTTTAATCAAGGGTTTAAAATAAATTTGCACCATGTTTCTAAACATTCTAACATAAAAATCTTATCATTTGTTATCATTATTAATTATATTTTGATCATATACTTGAATATAATAGTTTTTTCATAAGCTCAAGCTCTTCATTTATTTTTAATAATTATAATGATTAATTATGGGTATCATATTCTATTTCAAAGAGTTTAATATATCTGAAATTGTTTTGTGTCAAACTGATATATTGGAGTAACAATTGTAGTGATCTAATCCAAGTTGTATTGTGAAAAAAAATTTGAACTAACAAGTCAAAATCAATGATTTTCAATAATTATAATAAATGACTATGAATACATATTCTATTTCAAAATGATTCATTTGTACCAAATGAATCATTTTGAAAAAAATGAACATCATATTTTACAATTTTGTTATGCAACAAAAAATTTAATGGTGGAAATATTGCAATTAAATAATATTTATGCTATGCCATAAAAAATTTTGTCATCAAAATTTAGCCATAGGCAAGCACATACAATTACTCATATAATTTTGGCTATATTAGAGGCTTAAATTATAAAAAAAAAATGCGTTCATATTTGCATGATTGATGTTAAAAATAATAAGATCTCATGTTATTTATTAGTAGATGTTTCATCATCTAGCTCCTCACATCGATGTAAAAAAATATTTTGTTTGTGTCCTACAAAATATCAAATCTATTAATAAAATAAAAAAGTAAAAATCTCAAAGACTCATGGATTACTAATCTATTATAGTAACAAATCGTAAAAAAATCTTACCTATTCGGTCGATGCTTGAATTAGCAGCCAAACAATGCATGGGAAAAAAAATCATAAGCTTAGATCCTAACTAGCTTTAGAGTTTCAAGTTTACTTTCTTGGCTTACACTATTCTACTTGTTTTGCGAACTTGAACTTATAGCCCATTATCATGATGGTTATATTTGTATTGTACCTCAAGACTTGTTGAAATTTATTGTTGAGCAATTCATACAAAAATTTAAGAAATTAGGTCAAGAGTTGGGTTTGAGATACCCTCAAAAAAATGAAAAAACTGAAAACTGAAAAATGACTAAGTTACAAACATAGTCATGTGCTTAAGAATTCTAGCTAATTTCTAACCAGAAAAATATTTCTATAAATAATAATAATAGCTATGATTTGCTGTTGAAAGGACAATCTACATAAAGTCATAAGAAACCATAGTATTAATTGATTAATATAAGGTTTCAGCTTTACAATGATTAAGGTTTGCACTTTTTTATGGATTAGTACCAATTTTGTAAAAATATTAGAAATATAACAGATAAGAAATATTACCAATAATTGATAATATATGACAATAGCGGTTTGTGCTTTGTTTGCCTTAATGATGGAAAATTTAATATTATTCATATTTTAATGTGTTGCAATTTTATTTTATTTTTCTTTCATAAAACGAGTAACTCAGGGATTGGACATTTTGACGTTTGAGCTTTTCTCTTGCTACACACATAAAATAGCTAACAAAAAAAAGGGGGTATTTGACCTTTGTCACTATTGATAGATTTTTTTCCAATTTAAAAAAAAAAGGATATTAAAAAAAATTATAACCTCATAACTATATCGTTTCAATATAACTTTTTCCAGTGTTACATGAATTATTATTTTTTTGATTTTTTAGTTCTTGTCAAATCCATTTACTTTACTTTCCAACAAATCTTTTCACTCAATTATAAAATATCTTTCTTGTATTGTGTTGGTCATCTTAAATTTTGGTCAATATTATCTTATGATACACATCTTAGTTTTAGTACTCTATGGTTATTCAAAATTGGATGCAATTACCTTAATACAATTTATCTTGAAATTGTTATAATAAGCATACTTTTGAAAAATTCACAAACAAAGCTTGTCAACTTTAACCATCTTTAATTGATAAGAATCAAAATAGAGATGATGCAAGATGGAGATAATTAGTCTAACGATGATTATTATTTGAAACATTTGATATGTCACGTCAATAATCTATGTGTTTAGTGTGTTATATTTTTTATATATTAATTAATGTCTTAGTTTGAGGGACACATTAATAATCCATGTGCTCATAGTGATGTCAATAATGTCATTGATGTATGATAAGTGGTAATATGACCTCATAATACATTTTAGCTTTTAAGGACAATATATGAAAAAAGAGAAATTACTAAGATTTTTACTCAACTTAGGAGTTTCTAAATTATTTTAATTTTTTTTCATAAACTTCCCTAGTGTTACATCAAAAAATTATACAAATCCAATCTCAAATATACATTAAATCCAACCATATTCAATTTTTTTAATAAATATTTATGAAAAATATTATAGATTTAATTATAATCATTTGAGTTATAATTAAACCTAAATTTTCATCATCCATATAGTTCATATAATTATTTTTTTAAAGATTATGTTTCATAATCATTCATAATCGTATGATAATTGATTCAATTGATAACCATAAACAATATATTTATGAAAAATATTTAAAATAAAACTTGCTTTATGGATATATTTTAATAATCATCAAGCTGAAATCATCTTAATCATTATCATTTCACACTCATTTATTAGTTTTTATAATTTTTTATATATCAACACGGCTATAATATTAAAAATAAAAAATAAAAATTTATTAATAATTTTTTAATACATAAAATGATATATTTAAAAAATATATTATTTTTATATAATCATATTAAATTTTTATTTTTTTTATGATATATTCACTTATAATTAAAATTAAAATTTTATAATGATTATTTTCATAATATTTAAATGTTATTTTATTTGAAAATTTAGAAGATAATATATACAAATATTAAAGATTATTATGGTTAAATGTTTATGATATAAACAACTGTTTGCAATCAATTACATCATTAAATTATAGTCCCAATAACACTATTTTGTAACATTATCCATCCACATTACATAAATTATTACAATTAAAACTTAGTTAAGCAAAATACAAATACATTACGTTAAAATCATAAATGTGATTGTATTAAAAAAAATAATTTTCATTGACCAACAAAAGAGCAATAATGAAGGAGGTGGATTAGAATTCAAATAAACATAATAAATCAAGTTTATTGATTCAATAATTTGATCAAATATTTGTTCATAATTTGACATAACTATCAAAAAATGATATTTTTGAAATTTTTAAGGTGTGAAATATCTATTTATATGTTTTGCATAATCAATAAAGTTCAATTATATGATCAAATTGCTCTTAAATGCAACTATAACACTTTGAATTTGATTCTATGAAATAGATCTTAATGGTTATTTGTTCATATATAGTACTTAAAAGATACAATGTATGATAAGGTTGCACAACCACAATCCATCTAACTCCTCGTCGATCGATAACATGACGGACATTATTGTGAGCACATGGATTATTAAAGTGTCATAGTATGATTGATTATGAGTTGCATACTATATTGATAGACTTCAACTATTATTTGTTTTATATCTTTATTATTAATGTATAAATTTCATCTTCACAATAAAAAATTCATTGATATCAAACTTTAGTTGGTTATTCTAGATTGTACAATGCTTTCTCCAATTTGCATACTTTTTCTTGTGACTTGAAAACTATATGGGTAAAATACATACACCTCTCTCTTGAAATACCTATTCAACAACATAAATTTCACATCCATATTAAATACAAATCATTTTCTACTAGATGTTACATCAACAATGAACAAATTAGTGGTCAAACTAGATGTGATAACAAAGGTTTCTTGAAAGTGTGGATGGAGAATTTAACTCCAATTGTGAATGTTCCGGAAACATCACATCTCATTTAATAACAATATTTCTTTTCTACTTCTCATCCATGCTAGTTTTACAGGAAAAATTATGCATGGAACAATGTCTCTTGAACAAATCCATATATTACCCACTCTATAATGCTACTAGACATTTGATTTCTTACGTGCAATCTTCTCCTACATATTGATCACATAGTCTCAACTCACAAGAACATCTCGTACTTAGTGATCACATAATCTCTCCACTCACAAGAAAATCTCCTACGGAGTGATCACATAGTGTCTTAACCCACAAGAACAAGAATGGAGATGGGACGCGACCGGTTCTTCACGGGATGAAGTGTATGCTCACATCATTTTTGAAACAATAAACCTTAGTGTTCTACCTTGGGGTCATAATCAAATCAAGACCTGGTGAGCAGACTATATATATATATATATGAATGTACACTGCTGCATTCACCTTCTTACGCAATTGAGACCAACTGTTTATGGCAAACTGCATTAGTCAACTTCCTCTCAAGAAATAAGGATAGCTATAACTTATGCTTAATTCTTGTAAATTTCTAATACCCAGCCAGCGGTGAGTGCATCCACAATTTGTATGTTAAGGGTCAATGCCGCTGGGTCCATAAAACTAGAAATCAAATGAATTTTTGTGTGTGTCTACGATTTGATCGGCGTGTAAAAGTTTCGTCCCCATGAAGGACTCTTGTACAGTGTATTAATAATAAATTCAAATCCTAGCAGCAGGGAGTTATCCATCTATGAAATCTAGCCTGAGCGAGTTCCACCTTAATTCAAGCATTTAGCCCGTAGTATAAATAGGCCCCACCGAGATTCGAACTCGGGCTCTTGGATTCAAAGTCCAATGTCGTAACCACTAGACTATGGGGCCAGACATGTATATGTCAAGTTTTTACAATGTATCAAATCACTTACTTTTTCTCCGCTGCCAAGGCACAGTTCTGTTCTCCACGAGAAAGGAATTCCGCAGAGATTGCTTTTTTGCTGAATTTCTGAGTGCCCAGGTTGGGGTATTGATTTGTAGTTTTTTTTCTGCCAGAAGAAGACCAAAATGTTCATGCGCACATGTTTACAAGGCTGAAAACCTACTGGAAAGCTCCAACACTCGGTTAAGATGCACAGACTGTTAAGAGTCAAAAGATTGGCACAAGTTGAGCTGGTTTTAAAGTGTACAATATCTTCGATCTGGCAAATTAATCGTTCATATTTTTGCCCGCATCGGTCTTCTGAACTGTCCCCTTCTACTCTGACTCCCTTACCGCCTTGTGCACAACAACTAAGCCATCATCACAACATCAGTGTTTTCTCTCGTGCGCGTTCGTTGACAGCCAAATGATGATTGTCAAGCTTTTGCATTCGAGTTAGAAGGACAGCTGTCTCTTATCATAATAGTGATCCAGCAATTAGTAAATCTCCTGTGATTCAGAAATTCCTTGGAGCTTTGCGGGGTGTCGAATTTTCCTTGGCATTTGCTGCGGAAATAAATGAGTAGATCTTCTAAAATTTCAGAAAAGCCAAAGCAGAAGTGTAAACTGTATCAGCTACTCAAGACGTTAGTGCAGCGCTAAGAGTACCTTGAAAGTTTTTAATCTGTACCACATTGACCGAAATGCATAAGATTATTTCCAGACACACTCATCGGTATCTTGGCAATTGTTACATTGTCTAATTACCTGCACTTGAACCCATGTTCAAGGCTGGACATATTCATCACTAAAAATAAGAAGATATTATTTTATGCAGATGTGTTTCCATTGCCATACAAAGAGCATAGAGGAGAACAATCACATTACGTGATGCTTCCTAGGATGCTGTTGTTTGTAGACCGTTTCACCTTGATATGTGTATATCTTCCGTGTTGTAGGATATATTTCCGATGCTATTGGGGGTTAGCCCATTGTTACCTGTTTGGTTCCATACTTGTGTGATTTGATGGGGTCTTCCCATCCCTTTTGTTATTTTACTGTGTCTCTATAAATAAGAAGAAGATACAGACCCCAATCCAACTTCTCGGCCTTTTCACTTGACTTCCGAGTTTAGGGAAATGTCTTTGATCCCAACTAGAATGTGTAAGAATATTCCTTTTATCTGGTACAGGTCTGTCTGAAAAGGTTAATCATTCCCTGTACACGATAGCATGATCTGATTTCACATGGAGAATTACCTGATATCAACAATAAAAAAACGGGACTAGGTGTTTGATATAAGTCATTCCATTGCAAAGCACTTGTTTTATCACATTGATGATCTGAGCACTGTCCGCAAAGTTGTCGTAATGATCCGTATCGATATAGTAGCGTCAATAATCAGCAGATTCACAGCGGTGATATGGAATCTCACATATGCGATCTGGAGGATATACAACTCTATGAGATTGAAGAAGCTTATACATTCAGTCATCACGTGTGATCAGCTTACACCTTGTTCGTTGACGCAAATGTGAAGAACAGTCCTTGGTGACTATTAACAAACGACTTCCTCGGTCACTGGCCTGTGAACATTACATCGAGCCCGACACCTCGAGTAGCTCCATCAATTGACGACTTTGGAGATGGAAGTCAAGTCAAGCCAAGTCAAGACTGTTTCAACAGTAGAGACGCCCTTAATCAGCATGAATGGTCATGAGAATCTGTACAAGTCCATTTACAACTTGATGAGCAAAGTTACCTTCTTTCGTACTTCAAGTAGTGAGATTCAACATCAGACATCTGATGTTTGATGTTGAATCTGACTGCTACTAATGTACCCATTGAAATGAAGTCTACGCTGAGAAAGACCTCATTTACGTGGCCACATCAAAGTTGGACCATAAAGTCGGTACCTTGGTCGTGTGGCTGCAACCCTAAGCAATCTCAGTGTCGGAGCATGAATTGAAGCACACTCTCGATGAGATTCGTTTTCAACTCAGATAGGGCCAGTTGCATCCAGCGAGGTGCTTATAAGCTTTTAAAAAATAAAATTAAACGAGTATCCACACATTCAAAACGGGCTCGAGCAATTTCAGTAAAATCTAACTGTATAAACCAGTCATCTTATAGTTTTTAAAGACTTCGGAGTAGGCAAAACTTCTAATGGTCTATAATATAAAATAGACCTTATATTATAGACCTTTCCCAATCCACAAACATTTGCGTCATCAAATAAAATGAAGTCTACATGCATTGTATGCACCATCGACAGTCGACTGACTTTACAGGGACCAACTGCTTACATCCAATCCAGCCCACCTCAGAAAGGGAGTCCACCGAGCTAGCAAGTGGTCGGCACTAAAATTAGCTCCCACAGAACAGAACAGCATTCGTGCTCAATAAAATGAATTCGACGAAAGAATCACATGTACAGGATCTGGATCGATCCTACACTTCTGACAAATTCAATGCACTACTACCCTACTGTGTGTGCATATAAATAAAAGGTATTTTAGTGGATAACCGAAACATCAGTACAGCAATACGATGAATTTAGAATCTTAACACCTAAAACAATGAAAGAGTGAGGTCATGTCTGGACCGGACTGCCGGTACTAAAATCCACCGCCTTTGGTAATGTCGTCTCTTTAAAGAGTCGGCACAGTAATGGAAATGGAATACAGTTTCATTGGTGTTGTTTTCATCATTTCCCCTATGTGGAATTGTGATCACGACACTCTCACTAGTTTCTGTCATGGCAACAACAGTAGTATAAAAAAATTGCTCCAGTGTCATATGTCAACTTGGATGGTTGCCTGGAAGAACTGGAATCAGTGAAGATGAGCCTAAGGTAGTTATCATGGACCATTTTATCAAAGGAGGATTCAAAATTATCAACCATTTACTAGGGGAACTTCTTTCGGTGGCTTGCTACAGCAGGACTTTGTCATTACCAGGTGGGGATCGATCCCAATCGTCAGTGGCTGCACACCTTTGATGCGTACGACTACGTTTGGCCATGGCACTGCGAGTTTTAATGGGTACATGGCTGGCATGTCTACGTTTTATCATTTGATGTGTGGACTCACGATGGAATCTACGATTTTCTATCTCGTTGCGATTTGTGCTGTTGGTAAGCACGGAGGGATGGATTCTACATTATGCAGGTCCTCATTACTATCTTATATGACCATGGCTCGAGTTTTAGTCAAAATGTAACTGTAGTGGCAGCTTAATGGTGAAACAAACCCAGTAGGAGAGACTCAGGGAGAGCTATAACTATTTATATCTTCTTTCAGATTGTACATAACTAGCCTCCTGCCGAAGAGATTTGGGGGTTTCAAGAAAGACCCATAAAGTCATGGACGGGATTTGAGTTATTCCCATCAAAACCAGTCCCCGTTCCTATAAGTTCTTTCCGGCTAATTTGAAATTGCCATAAAAAATTCTAAGGGTGAATCCAGAAAAAATCTCTCATTATTAGAGCGGTCCAGCCTAGGATATAAAAGAGTATTTCATTGTCCCATAAGAAAGTTATGACAAAATCTATACATCATTTTATAGACAAGCAGAAGGCATACTCGTAATCTTTTAGGACATTCCTACATTTCTTTATTCCCAAACACATGAGTTTTTTTTGGATGATTTTATATTTTACGAGCAGTTCTTTCACTCAATATATGTATAAGCTACATATAAGGATAACCACTTTTTATTGTATGGAAATATATAATTCCCTGGATGGGCCACATACTATGTCTTTAAAAATCAGTATTTTCTAGGTTAAAACGTCCTCTTGTACTCCAAAACTGAAAGAAACTTCTTCTTTTTGCTAAGGTGTGGATATTGATAAAAAATGATATGGAAATAGTATATAACCCATAAAATTTACGGGGTGCCTTTTCAGGATCCCGTGGATGTTTATCCGGTTATTCATGAAGCATTTTATGGGATTAGAGGGTTATGGGTTGTTATGAAATCCCCTATTGATACGAAAGATGTAAACGGAAGTGGAACCTTCTATAAATGATGTTGTATAGCATATTACCCTCAAAGTTGGAAACAGAATAAGGATCAATTTATTACTGCGTAGTGATAATATTGTATGATTGTCGTATGAGATTTCCAGGGTTGTATGTTCTCTTATGTAGCTACATGAGAGAAAATTTTATTTCATTTTAACTTTCCAAAAGAGATTCTTCGGCGTCATATCCCAAAGCATCTAGGTTTTAGGTCACAGGGTAGCTACAGATAAGTAGGTTCCTCGTATGTTTTCTTAGGTGTTTACTTCATTTGTTGCAGATGTTTTATTTATGTGTTTCACAAGAGTCACTTTCCCATAGCATATCTTGAATTTCCTTGCATCCTATGTCACACTTCTTGCACCCATGAGGGCGTGATGCGCCAGTATCGGTTACTTCAAAGTTAAAGACATCTGGCTGCAGTGTCAAAGGCTTGGTGTTTCACCTTTCACACATCTCTTATAGTTTGCATTTGCATTTGTGCGACCTGCATCATCGAGCAATATGTCTAAATGTGTATACCCGAGATGCAACGTTCGCTGGATCCTTCAATTCGTCATCTTCACAGTGGTTCTGAGTGTAAGCAGTAACCGAGATGAACTTTTGATCGTGATACTCCAGTCCAGTAATCCTCATCACCGCAAAGACCAGGCGGCGCGTCGATGTGATACCACGTAAGGGGTTGTATTATACACGTTGCAGACAAGGTTGCAGTCCATATTTGACAAGTGGAAGTCAAGGCCAAGTGGCAACGGGGCCACGTTGTCACAGGCGGGCCGCGGGAGGAGTTCCGGAGGACCCACAGTTCTAATTTACATAGAGGAGACATACATCCACAGAGAGCCTGGGCCCTCGGGGGCCTGGTAGGGGTTAGGGGGCCACAGTTTTCGTCGCACCACCGTATCAATCTGCGTACTCCGCGATGCGGTTGCGGCAGCTGTT